CAGGTATATTGGAGCAGCGGCAGCAGCAGGCTGAAGCGGTGGCGTACGTGACGGGTCGCGGGTCTACATCAACAGGGCAGCAGCAGTCGCGATGCGGAGACGTGGCAACTGCGCAGAAGAGAGCCGCGAGCTGGCGAATAGCCTGATCGGCGCGCTGACGAGTGGTAGGGGGAGAGCGAGCCGACGCGCGAATAACTTGGGCCGACTGCGCCGTGGGGAGCTCAGTCGGAAACCAACTGCCGAGCAGTGAGGGACGGTGAACGTAAAAGCGGACCGATGTGTTGATCCGGGGATATTTTGATGCGCTTCCGAGCCCTTAGAACGCTGCAGCGTGTGAGAGGCAACGAGCGTCGTCCAGGAAGAGCTGCTACGAAGAGCTACGTTGTTGAGCTGACCAGGAGACAGTAGGAAGATTCGTCGCGTATCGCCCTCGCATCAGCATTGGCGATCAGACGTCTCTTCGACCAGCAGAAGAGTCGCTCGACGAGTAGTTAGTCGTCGTAGGTTGAGAGGCGGAGAGCACTGACAGGCCACAATAACAACGACTGCCTGCACCGGAGACACGCAAACGAGAGAGGAGAGTTGCTGAACAAGAGGGCTTGTTCGAATACAACTTGCAACGAGCTGCTCTGACGGAGTGGGTTATTGCGTTGTCCACAGTCTGTGATAGTAGAACGTCGAGAGAAAGGAGAGGAGAGGAGCAGAGAGCTTTGGAAGAGTGAGCGTTTGTTCGTCCGTTTTTATTTCGGAGTGTGACATCCACCGGCGATCTTTTTGGTGTTGTGTGAGCCCGTGTGTCACCAGCAGCAGCACTGAATCCCACACGAATAAAAAAACGACCACGACCGACGACTAGATAGGCTTTATATTATTTATTTCGATCTGTGATATACACCTACATTACTGATATTAAGGGCTAAGTCGCCGGTGACGAAGAGAAAAAAGTCCATCGTCCCATCGAGGTTGGAAAAGAGCAAATCACTTATCATCGATTATCATCATCTTGATGTCAGTATCTAGTGCTTAGACGTTTTTGTATATACGACTGACTCTTTTTTACGATTATTACGATTTAAAAAAAAACAAACCGGTGCGATTGAGAAGCGAGATTGTACGAGTGAGAAAGAATCAAGCGAAATCCAGATTATATTGTATATTAAGAGAGAGAAAGAGAGAGAGCGAGTTTCGAGTGATTGAGGGAACAGTGATACACTTAGATTATAGACCAAGAAAAAAGAAGTCAAAGGCTCGGCAATTCTGCGATAGCGTGTACACAGAAGAGAGAAAAGTTCACCGCTTATTACATTAGCTACAGTCATCTATAAATATATATTATTTATCAACGCGAGAGGGAGAGAACAAAAATGGTCGAGAAAATCCTAGAAGAGCGCGAGGATGAGCGCACCCAAGAGTCAACCAGAGGTGAGATGCACTGTCTATTTGTACGCACATTTGTTTGTTTCCTTTTTGCCATCCTAACCCATATTACGTAGCACACCCCAGCAAGCATTTCGGGAGGTTAGCTGTGAGAAGCTTCCAGACGCCGCGCGGAAGGATCGATATTATAGGCACTGCTTGCACTTACTTACAGAATATCTGTACAGCGCTGTTTTGCCTTTAAAAAATTTGTTATAAATTATCTTTCGCCACCAGGATACCTTAGTAACCAACAAAAATACCGCATTTGCCGCGAAGTATTCGCGGATATCGATTTTGAGCAAGCGAGAGAGAAAAGCCGGTATATTTTGTAAAAGCCGAAACGCCACGTCAACGCGCACTTTATATATACATATATATATAGTGTGCGATATATATATATATATATATATATATATATATATATACATATACATACACACACCCGTTCTTCCTCGTTGCAGCTCTTTCTCCCCCTTTCACTCGTTGCCATGGTCTCCCCGGCAAAAGCTATATAGCGGGTGCTTCTCTCCTTTTTTTTCTTCCATCTCTTTGTTCGTCAAGCGCGTATAGGCAAATTGCTCTTCATTTTCGTTGGTTTTGAGAAGACTTGGTGCATCGCACTCTCTCCCTGCATTTTGTATTTTTTGTTTTCAGTCGGTCGCTTGCGACCCTTTGTCATTGATAAGCTTCCATCGGAACACACGCATACAAACACGCTATTGTTTCGAAGATAAATGAAAACTCAATTTTATCTCTCCACGCGATTATTTTTGCACTCGATCGTTTGCGTATCAACATTATGGTTTTGTGTGCGCGATTGCTTTTTCGCGGAAAAAGGGGAGAGGGAGCAAAGTTGAAGTGGGTTAGTAGTAGAAGCTTTGTCGACTCTATTACGCGTTTTCGATGGGAAAGAAGAGAGAGGGAGAGAGAGAAACAATAAAAAGGGCCCCAGCAGTTACATACGTGCGAAGAGGAGGAGAAACCGAACGGACAAAGAACAAGGGGGGAGCCCATAGCATCTTTTAAAGGGACACAGCGAGAGAGAGAAAGAGAGAGAGAGAGAGCCCGCATGTGTGTGTGTGTGTGTGTTTATGTGTGTGTGCACACGTACGCATTTCGGAGTTGGGTGCTTCTTTGTTCGTGCGGCTCTCGCGCTTGGGTATGAGGTAATCGAAGCGTGTCCCGACTTTTCGCCGCTTCAAACGCATTATTATTCCTTGTACGAAACGCACTGTTTTTGCATAGAAATCAAGGTTGAGCAAACATACAAGTATATTTATGTATTGACTAATGCAGCACAAATTGGTGCTGATTCATCGGAATAATTTGTGGATAAAAAGAAACAATTAGCGAATGGGAAACGTCGACGAGTGTTGGAGACTCGCGCCGTCCGTGGAATCAACCGCGCGGAGAATAATTCGCCACAGACGTCCGCGCTTATCGCTGAAGCTCGCCGAGAGAAAAAAAAAAAAAACGTTCGAGAAAGGCCCTCGGCAGTTCGCCATCTGGTATGCAGGCAAATGCGCACGTAGAGATAGAGGCGGCAGTATCGATCGGTTCCGGCGCTCGATGTATACATGCACACACGTACGCGCACCCCGTCGAGAGCCTTATCCCAAGGTCACGAGCGGCGCGCGCAACCATCCCCTGCGCGCACGCCGGGCTGGCGCGATGCACGCCCGGCTCGCGAATCGCGGAAAGCAGAATCGATTAGCCTCGCCGCGGCGGTCCGTCCCGAAGCCGCGAGAGAAGCGAGCCGCGCCGGAGCGAGCGCGCTCCTTTTTCTGTGTCAGTCAATGAACTCCGGGCAGCTCGCGCGTCCGCGAGAAGCTCGGCGGCCGTCGCGAAAATACGTTCGCGCGCGCCGCGGCGGCGGCCCGCCTCGATTCGCTTGCGCTTGCGTCGAGCGAGCACCGGGACGGGCGACGATCGTCGGGACTGGCGCCTCCGCGTTGCCGCCCCCGCGCGTCCTCGGCAGGCGTGTCGCGGCCCGCGACTCTGCTCGAGTTCGCATACGTCTCGCCCTTATTTCTCGCCGCGAAGGGGGTGGGGGGAGCGGAGAGAAGCGAGCGCCGCTGGCGTGCCAAGGCCCTGCTCTCGGCTTACGTAAAGGTTGGTTCGCTCCGGGAGGCCTCGCCGTCGGCCGTATCTCTCCGCGGCGAGCTCGGCCCACTCTCGATTCGCGAGTCGACCGACGATCGCTCGTCTCGACGACTGGCCGACGCGCAATCGTCGCGGCGATAGACGGCTCGCTATCGGCAGTCGCGCGGCCGAGAGAAAGCCGCGCAGCCTCGTACGCGCGCGCGCGAGAGAGAGAGGATATGGGCACGGCTGGAAAAATCTGGCGCGCGCGCGTTTTAATTGAGCGGCGCCGCGCGTGGGTGCCCCTGATTTACGAGCATCTCCGCCGCGAGCTAGAGACAATGGCGGCTCACCTGGATCTACATTCGACTCGCATTCAAATCCGCGGAGCGAGACTTCTCTAACCACTGGTTCTCCGTCTCTCGGCTGCCGGTCCGTTACGAAGCTGCCGTCAACCTCCTCTCTCTCCTTCTTCCTCGTACTCTCGAGGAATATATGTACGCGTACGCGCCTCTCGGCCGACGGCGATGTTTTATTCAGGCTGCGGCCTTTGTGCGCGTGCGGCTACGCGATGAAAAAGCAAACAACCAGCGGCGGTAATGCATATCGATCTGCCGCGGCGTACTTTTTTTACCTCGCGCCGAGCGAGCGGAAATTAGAGGCAAGAGCAGCAGCCTCCCTCGAGCTCGTAATCACCGAGGACAGTTATAACGGACGCGCAATAAGTAGCTCTCGAGAGGAGGAAAACTACTCGCCGACCCTTTCTGCCGGCGATCGACGACGCGGCCGTCGGCCGATCGATCTCTCGGCCGGTGCGCACCGGCCGAGAGTAATGCCCCGTCGAGCGCCGCGCTCATTCCGGCTTCTTCGCTTCCCTCTTCGCTCCTCGTGGCTGTGCAGGCGCCGAGCCCCGCGCATCCCCGTTCGCGGCGGAATCACCCGAGAGACCGTTGCTCGAGCCGCGCTCCTACGTGGAAGAAAGGGGGGCCCCGAGGATGAAAAAGGAAAGAAAAAAGAAGGAGAAACGAGCGGCGCGCCCGACAAGTCGAGACGCGTTGCGCCTGCTCTGCTCGATCGATCGGAATGCTGCAGCTGCCGCGTGTGAATGGGAGACCGGACCACCGCCTCGTGCCTGGCGCCGTAAAAATTTGCCCTGCGACATCTCGCCTGCTCTCTCTCTCTCTCTCTCTCTCTCGCTCTCTCTCTCTCTCTCACACACACACACACACACACATGGAGATTTTCACCGGCGTCGCTGTGCGCCAGCTATCGCGTCCTCGTATCCGGAGGACTGCGCGGCGACGGGCGAAGCTAACGGCACTCGCAGCCCGCTCGAGCGCGCGCAAGCTGTGCCGATCGGCGAGCGTGTCTGTGCGCGGATGCGGCGCCACTGCTGTCGCTCCGCGCTCCTCGCGCAACGCGACGCGACGACGAAATAAAAAGGAAAGAGCGCGGTCACCGAGCGCTGAGCTTCATCTTGGGTTTGCTTGTGATTGCAGGCGACGGAGTGAGCTCCACGGGGGAGTCGATGACGGCGGTGCAGGCACGCCAGGAGGAGGCCAGGCGCAAGCGCCGCAAGAAGAAGCGCTCGTCCGGCTCGTCCCTCGTCTCGTCTTGCTTCCAAGGTACGTCACCGCACGCATCGCTCCTCCTTATGCCGGCAACGCACGGGCTCGCGTCGGCCAGAGATGCGTCTGCTCCCGGCCGCTGCTGATCTTCGCTGCGCCTCGGCGAGAGCGCGCGTTTCCTTGTCCCTCCGACGCCGAACGAACAGCTCGAGATCGAGCAGGAGGTCGCGGCCGCCCATCGGAAATGCAATTACAGCGGCGTGCCCGGCTGAGCCGGCGCTCGCTTTCGATCACTAATAACGAAGCCTATGTTTTCCTTTTTGTTTGACGAAAAAAGAAAAAGAGAGAAACGCCCACGCGTTCGCGAGCCTCGCCCACTGGTGATGAAAGTGCATCGCGTGCAGCGTTGCCAGCTTTCGCGAAAGTCGCGATAGAAAGTTGCCTTTTTTCTTCTTCGTTTTTAGCATCGCGTCACGTATGAAAAGGGTCAACGAGAGAGAGAGAGAGGACCTTCAAGAGTCTTGAGGTCGGTTGTCTTTTTAACATTCGTTTATTACCCGTTTCGCGGCCGTGAAACGATCAAATTGACAAGCGGCTGCGATACGTATTGCACTCTCTCTCTCTCTCTCTCTCTCTCTTCAATGAGCGGGCAGACGACGACAAACCGATGAGTTTCTCCTTCGAAGGAAAAATGAAAGAATCGGAAAGGAAGCGAGCTAAGTTTAGCAGGCGCGTAATGGAGTACGCCTGGTGCTGACGGGAGCATGGGAAGTCATGGGGGAGAGAGTAGAGCGGCGCTTAACCTTGACACTGAGCGCGGCCAGACGGAACGACGAGCAGACGCAGTCAGCTGCTGCTTGTTTCCCGTCTCTCGAAAGGAAGCGCAAAAAGGCGCGGATTTTCGAACAACCGATCGTGGCCGGGCACAGCTTACGTAAAAGCGGTTTCAACCGACTCGCAGCTGGGGGATTTCTCTTCCGATAGAAATCGCGGCGGCGCGGCAGGATGCATTCGACTTTTTCCGCGCCGCCAAAACGATAACGATCCCCGCGAGTCGGCTCGTGCCGTGTCATTATCGCCGCGTGATGTATGCGCAACGGGTAAAATTAGAAACGGCTGCGCGGCATGTGAGAGCTTTGTGCCGGGCGAAAAATCGTGAGCGATAAACGCGCTTGCTCGCCGCCCCCTCGAGAGAGAGAGAGAGAGAGAGAGAGAGAGAGAGAGGGACAATTTGTTAGAGAGCTGCCGGCGCCGCTTCGCATTATTTTAGAAGCCGCGCTCCGTCCACTTTCTCGCGTGCAAGTACACGACTTTCCATTCGCTTTGAGGCTTACGCGGCGAGCGGAGAAGATGAACGTGGGATCGGTTTGCTGCGCTCAGCCAAATGAAATTTTCCGTGTTCGCAGAGCTGTACAAGCTGACGGGCGAGGTACTGGGAGAAGGGGCGTACGCTTCGGTGCAGACGTGCGCCTCGCTCTACACGGACCTCGAGTACGCGGTCAAGATCATCGACAAGATACCCGGACACGCGCGCGAGCGCGTGTTCAAGGAGGTGGAGACGTTCCACAACTGCGCCGGCCACCCGAACATCATACAGCTGATCGAGTTCTTCGAGGACGACGAGCGCTTCTACCTCGTCTTCGAGAAAGTCAACGGCGGCCAGCTGCTCAATCGCATCCAGGAGCGCGTGCACTTCAGCGAACGCGAGGCCAGCCAGATCATCAAGGAGATCGCCAGCGCGCTCACCTTCCTCCATAAGAAGGGTGAGTCGACAGCTTTTCTTTCACTCGTAGCGCCACGACTTCGCTCCGTAGGCGCCGCTCTTATCGCGCGGAATCGTGGATTTCAGGCATCGCTCACCGCGACCTCAAGCCCGAGAACATCCTGTGCGTGCACCCCGACAAGCTCACACCAGTCAAGATCTGCGATTTCGACCTGGGCTCGGGCATAAGGTTCAACAATAGCGTGGCCTCGCCCATCGCCACACCGCAACTCCTGACGCCGGTCGGCAGTGCTGAGTTCATGGCGCCCGAAGTGGTCGAAGCCTTCATCGGCGACGGCAACTTCTACGACAAGCGTTGCGATCTCTGGAGTCTTGGCGTCATCATGTACATTCTGCTCTGTGGCTACCCGCCGTTTTATGGCAACTGCGGTACTAACTGCGGCTGGGAACGCGGTGAAAATTGTTGTGCCTGCCAGCAGCTGCTCTTCACCAGCATCCAAGACGGCAAGTACGAGTTTCCGGATTCCGAGTGGGCCGACATCTCCGAGGAGGCGAAAGATCTGATCTCGAGTCTCTTGATCAAACAAGCCCAGAAGCGTCTCAGCGCCGAGAGCGTTCTCAACCATCCGTGGATCAATCCGGGTCCCGCCTGTCGCCAAACTGCTGATCGCCCGCTGGCAACTCCTCATACCATCAGGTTCGTTCACTCAACGAAAACCTTTCATTACCGTCGTCTGCAATCGTTACGATATGATCTCGACTGACCAATGTTTCGGCGTATTTTTCAGGAGAAACAACTCGGCACGGGAGCTGTCGGTGTTTGCTGATTCGGCGATGGCTGTAAACCGTGTATTTCTGCAGCACTTCTCCGTTAACCTGGAGGACTTGCAGGAGTACCGCGAGTTTCGACTGTCAACTTCATCGACCGACGACGACAACCATCCTTACGGCCACATGTCGGACTCGAGCAGCGAACTGTCCGAGAGTCAATCCTCGGGCGAATTTGACCACGGCACCAGGCGCAAGTCATCGGGCACCGACTCGTCCGGTAACATAGGCATCTTGAGCAAACAGCGTCTCTTTGATAAGGATCCTATCAGCTTGTTCGGATTGTCACCACCAAGCGAAAGCAGACTCATGCAGCGTCGCCTCAAAGCTCGCTCCGACCTGCTCATTCGCCATAACAATAAGTTGTCCATCGTTGCATCACCAAGTGGCTGAGTTACAGTTGGAGTTACGTCCCAGCGACGACCAACATCATCAAGTCGTCTTCATCGTCCAACACCTCATCTCCCCATTGGGTTCGAGCTCCTTCATGTGATTCGATCCGCTCATGAAATCGCGTTTAACTTATTTTCTCTACTTGGTAAACCTTATACTTTTCGGCAGTCTAATTTTGCATACCTTGGACGAGCATTCGGTTGCGTAGCCCTCTTTTAACGCATTGTATACAGTTATGGACTTTTTCTTTTTTTTTCCTTTTTTTTTGAGTTGGCGGATAGCACTAAAAACGTACTCACACATGTACACTTTACTGAATGCGAGGACACTGCTCATCCTACGAAATATGCATTGACAGTTGATTGGATAATTGTATTATTTTGTTCATTTGTTTTGATATAGAATGGTAAACAGTTTGATGTGGCTTGTTTTATTGCGGCCACCTTGTGCCATGCATAGTATTTCTTGTTGTCAAAGAAAAAAGGTGTATGATTGGATTTCTTATGATTGGTATTTTCGATAACTGTCGAAGCACCATCCGTAACTTCAATACTTTTAATTCAAGTTCATAGATTCTATTCATTTTGTTGTTAATTCTATTTAATTTTGTGCGTACTTTATGCACTTCAATGTGAAGTAAGTAACGTTGATCAGCAAGATATGCTAAGGAATTATTCCAAGTAATTTTTGGTATTACCTATCTTATAAGCTGTTCAGTTACTTACATTTTTAAGTAGACACTTATATAATTTTTCAGATTCTCAATTATAATTCAAATTCGAAATTTGAAAATCGAATTTTCTATCCAAATTCAAATTAATAGCCAAGCAGTGTCCTTTCAGATGCATCAGTGTAGTGTACAGTTTTTGCTCAGTAGGATTGTAAGGTATAGCTATAGACTATAAGAATCTTGATAAAGTTAATACATTTTTAATGAGCGGCAAAAATAATTATAGAATGGAGTTATGTCGCAGAAAGACGGATTTATCAGACCATATTCTTTACAAGTGCTTAAAGAGTTTAATAAATCACAAAAAAAAAAAATAATAATTAGCACGTAGTGAGCAAAGGAATAGTCACTTTGTGTGAAGTCCTTTCAAATTTGTACCTGTGTTGTAAGTGAATTAGGCGGGAGGAAGAAGATATTTAAAAAATTAGAGATTCAAATTTAAAAAAATTTTATGCTTTATAAAAATATATTTACTATTATTAGATCTACTTAAATATTACCAAAACGACTTGGATTTAATCTTATTTGTTTATTTTCTCTGTACTTTAAGTCTCTTTAAATACCAAAAATTACATCATGTATCATTTAAAAAGATTGGTGCGCTTTTCAGTCAACATTTCTTTCGTTACATCTTTTTCGAACGAATATTTATGATTGTACATGTTACGTTCAATTATGAGTTATTATTTAAAGTTCTTTTTTCGTACATTTGGTACTAGTTTGCAATTGTTTTTAAATGTTTTCTTTTTAATGGTTATACTTAATGTTTTTTTATTATTTTATTGATATTTTCATACAAATCCTATGGGTTGTTGATGAACATAAAAAAGTTGCGCCAATCTTAAAGTGATTCGCAAAAAATCAATTACTTTCAAAAACATTACTTTGAACTATTTCAAAAAAACAATTTACGCGATTGTAAAGTGGCTGTTCACCGACTACGTCTCATGAACGTGCTGAGGTGGATTCGAAGCCTTTCCCTGGTCTAATAGTTTATAAGAAAAAGCGAATTTTCTCAAGATTCTCAACAAATCAGATTTACATGGTAAAATTAACTGCAGATTTCCTATTGCAACCATATTTGAGATATCTTGGGAAGAAAATCATAAGCAAACAAGTGTATATAAAATTTAACAACTCTATAGAAGAGATGTGCTGAGGAAATATTATGTCACGGACCGATCAAATACAGAAAACAAAAAAAAAGAAAAAAAAAACAAAAAAATATGGCCATTCATGGCTCCCAGTGGTCTTTTAAAAAATCTTTGATTCACGCCAAATTACTATTGTAACGGTGTTTCTCTGTGCCAGTATTTTATTTCATATTCTAATTTTTTCACCGTACAGTATAAAATAAAAAACTGTTGAAGATTCACGGAGAAACATCGCTGGTACGCGAAAGATACTAACATAGAAGAACCGTATATTATATTATGTAAGCGTACCGATAACATCGCCTCAAACAGAATATAATGATAATGTTATTTCGTCCAGACGCTGGCGCGGATGAAAGACTTTGAGTAGCTTTTTAAAACTTTATTTCTTCTTCCTCTAACTCTTTATTTTCTCTGTATTTAAAGTCATTTTAGACTTACACAAAGATGAGCACGAGTGTGAATGCTATTGTGAGAGTGATTGCGAGTAACCACTGTAAATAAATTTTTGGGATTGCAGATAATTAGGGGAACGTACTGTAAAGATTGTAGAAGTTTGAGCGAATGAACGTAAAGTTGAACTGTAATAACTTGATACGAGAGGTGAATTTTTTTAAAAGCAATGGCCATAATAGTGATCGACGCACGCGGGGCGCGGCGAGTGTATGATGACGAATACGAAAATAACGCAAGCGACAAATGTTGAAAAGAAAAATCTAACTATTAGTTGGTAAGAAAGAAATTTGCAGCAGACGTGTCGATTGACGGCCGCTGAAATGATGAGTAAGCGTGTGATAATACAAATATACTAGTGTGTGAATGAGAATACATTTTTTGCGCTATTAAAATGATAACGAGAGAATGTAATCCTTTTTGGTCATTTTTTTCTCAGCGTGCCGCTGCAATCGTTTAAGCGATTGTTGAACGATAACAACATCAAACAAAATAAATATGAACACTTTTGACTGTAAAATGGTTGAACAACGCTCTCAGAATCTGATTTTGAAAGGCCAATCACGTTCTGAACTATTGACACTCATTGTGATCGAAGCGCAAGCGAAAAGAATTGAACGGTATTATTATATCTCGTTATATATCGGCGCTAATAAAAAAAACAGTGAGAAAAATAATACGAAAAAAAATATAGCGCAGCGGCAACTTTATACACATATACGCGTAGAGCATCGCTGTTTCTCTCTTCGACTCGCGAAGCTTACAAATATTAGTCAAGACACGCGAGTTGATTGCTTCCGTCTTTGAGCCAGCTGCCAAAGTCATTGTACGCGGGTTTCACTCGAAGAGACAAGCAGCGAGATTTTCGTTACTTTTTTAAAAAGCAATCTAAAAAAATGTCAAAAAAAATCATAATAAAAACACACAGAATCTTTTCAATTGATTACATGACTTTTTTTTTTAAAACAATTATCCTGTGCTTGTTTAACGTAAATCAAAATTTCGACATTTAACAACTACACAGAGAACAAAAATCATCTAGTCCCGTTTGGTATTTGATATTGAGAATCATCGTCGAATTCTTGTTATGCTCATATACATTAGTACGGCGTCGCATTCATCGAAATTCATAAAAATTTAATTCTGTACATGACGTCGACTAAAACATTTTGTCTTATATAGAAAAAACAAAAAAAACAATGTTCACGATAGATGGCTCGTGAAGAACAAAAGCCACGTAAAGATGCTCTTGTAAGCAACTAGCGACGAAAAGTTGAAAAAGAAAATCACAAAAAAAAAACATAAAATGCAACAAAAAAGGAAAAGAAAATCAATTGTTAGAATTATGAATAGTGCCTAGATTAGGACTAGGCGCAATAAGTAGTTGAACCGGTCCTCGAACGACCAAAATTCCCTGTCCCCCTTTATTCACGTCATTACTCATTTTTTGTATCTCAAGGAATTAATCCTTCCCATTAAAACGAGAATCGTTCGAGCGATTAGTCGGCAAAAGAGAAATTTGCTGCGAAAGGAAAACAGAGAGAGGAAAATGACGAAACGAAACTATTTTTTATCATTTACATCCGGCAATGCGTAGGCGAAGCGAGCGGCGTTTGTCGTCCACTCTTCGTTACCACTCGACGCTTTCTATGCGAGGCTTTTTACAATGCTGCGTCTTGCATTTTTTTATTTCGCTTCCAACCTTTGTTGCGTATTACGAGTCAGAGACTACGACGACGGCGGCAACATGCAAGTTGCACACGTATAGAGAGAGAATGTTGAGACAGAGGCGAGAACAGTGATGAGATAACGATGCGACTTTTCTCGTTCCAACGACGAAAGGCGTTTTATTTTTGTATATCGACGATTGATTGAACGGAGGGAGCGAACAGCGTATCTGTATAAAGAAGATATATAATGTACATAATTTCGTTTTTCAAATCGACGTATCTGTTATATTTTTACAAAATTGCAATTTATCCCGGAGGAAGAGGGAAAAAGAACAGTACTGAGCGTCGGCTTTCCGAGTGTTCTTGATTTTGAAGAGAAATCACGCGGCAATATAATTGTCTCTTAGACATGCTCACACACTTATCAGTATTTCCGAACTGCATTTATTATTGATCCAAGTTTTAGCGCTCGTGCCAACGATATTTACGTCTCTCTTCTACACTATTTGTTTTCCACGATAATTGAGACATAATGTGCACGGAAAGCTGATGCGGCATCGAAAAATATCTAAAAAAAATAATACATTGCTATCAGAGTATCCAGAGAGACAGAGAGGAGTGAAATAATATTTAAAGCTTTAACGTGGGAAGCTCCCATGTGTGATGCGTGAAAACAATTAGCCTGTAGTGAAACATATGAAAAAATGTTGAGACTGGATTGTGAACGTACAAAACTTTATTATAAAAATGTAGCGAGTCAAGATCAAGTTTAAGCGAAATTTCATTCTTAAAGATTATCTAAATTTGAGCAAACCTTCTGATGCGCGCGTCTGAATTGGCGAAATTGGTGTTTTTTCATGTGAATTTTTACCGCACGTTGTGCATGCATAAAAGAAATGACCTAATAAGTTGGCTCAAGCTTAGAAAGTTTTTATCAATAATGTAATCAGAGCGAGAGAATATATTTACGTTAAAATATCGCGGGATGATTGAGAACGTATGGAAAATAAGTGGAAAATGCCGATCACGCAAGCGATGGAAGTTCTTCTGGGAACTTAAATTCTTAGTTTGTTCTTTGTGATTTTACCATGACATTTATTCTCGTGAAAAACAAAACAATATTGCAATATCTATACTACATACCATATAGTACGTGAAAATTTGGTCTTTCATTTGAAACAATTTGCTTGCTCGATCCCTCCAAAAAGATTATTAAAACATGACAATTCGTGGAACGAGTGACCATATGTATGAACACTGAATATCAAACATACAGAGCGATATGTGAACGAACGAACGAAAGAAAAGCAAGGCAAAGAGGAGAACAGTAATTTTACCTCCTGTAGCTTATCATTTTTATACATACGATTGAGTACAAGCGGAATGGTTTTTTCGCGTATGACAAAAGCATCGCGTTTATCGTTTCATCGAAACAAAGTTTTCGCGTATATCTTTGCGGGACGCGCGACGGAGCGAAAGTGCAGACAACACAACGAGAGAGAGAGTGAGAGAGAGAGAGAGAGAGAGAGAGAGAGAGAGAGAGAGAGAGAGAGAGAGAGAGAGAGAGAGAGAGAGAGAGAGAGAGAGAGGGACATTTTTAAGCGAGGCAGGCGAACATTGTGATTGCTTTTTTTTAATGCGATGTTAGAAAGCAATGATCTTGAATTCAATGGCAAAGCTGCGTCGAAATTGTCAGAGTTTATTTTTTTCCAAAGAAATTCATATGTATTTCATCGTTTTCCATTCGAACCTCATTATAGTAATGGTATTTCACAGTTTTTCCTTGATAAAAATGCAGCTATAATACCCAATCAAATGTGTATGAAACCATTGATTGATCGTAAGAATCGATAAAGTTTATTTGGGACAAAATCTCGCTCGTGCATTTTTGTAAAATCACAAAACAATTGTATTTACATCGCGCTGAGTTCCGTCACAGTCGCGCAAGCGCGACGACAGTATTATACTACATTAGTATACAAATATAAACTCAGGAAATGAGGAAAGATAAAAAAAATGAAGAAAAAAAACCAAAAAATATGACTCACCAGTAAACTCCCTTAAAGAAACTGTTACGAGTGATCATCTCGAATCGTCGTTGACTCAGTGACATTTATGTGAAAAAAATAAATAATTAAGTCTGCGCTCTTCTCTATACTTTGGTATTATACTTTCTTTACATTCGCAAATACGCCTAATTTTGCAACTTTTTGTGCTTATATTATTTAAGGAGATTTGCACAAACCATCTATCCAACATATTGTAAAAGACTACTTGTTTGCCGACTTAATCTCTCAAGCTATAAGATGTCAATTGTATCATCAAAATAGAATTTAAAATGCATTTGTATTACGAGTGTCGTTTTAATTTTTGGTAAAATATGACTGAGTACTTGAATTTTAATAATTCCACTATTAACGATACAAGAAAAAAAGCAACCAGCCATTATAATTACTAACTTTTAGCAAGAGACTGTAATATTTCAGAAATGATATTTTGTTGTATGAAGAGCCAGACATCAATTATATTTCAATACAAAAACACATTTTGTAATGTTACTGCGCCGGACTAACCATTATTAATGATATACTTTATTTGAATGTAAGCATTATTAATGGGAAACATCAATAAATCAATCAAAAAGTTTCAAACAGTCTTCTTCATTACAAAACCTTTAACATAATCTTTTAACTTTTAAAATAAAAATTGGAGGTAGGGGAATAAAAGGATGAAATTCACAGCAATGATAAATATTTTTAATTTTTTAATATTTATTGTCGATCTGGACTAAAACCAAGTCCTCTGTACAAAGACGATTTTAATATATATATAATATTTTAAATAAACTCGGGAGCTTGGGAAAGCTCGCTTTGTTTGTTGCTCGCTCACTTTGTTACCAGATGCAATCTGTTTTATCAACCAGCGTGCACCTGACAACCTTGCGCGCTGCAGAAAATCAATCGCCTTCTGACCATCCCTGATAACAGAACAATAATTTTACGCTTATCGTGGAAAAACGACTTGGCTAATTGCGTATTCAGCACGCAGAAGACGATCGAGATTCGGCGATTTTCACATTCTCTCTTGCGATTTAAAGCGTCAAATAATATACGGCGATAGTGGGGCTGTGATATAAAATATAAATAAACCTTTAGATATCTATATGGTTACTTGAATATATGTTTAACTACAGTAAAGCAATAGCTAATTGAAGTTTTAAATCGCAAAAGATATTCTTTCCTTATTTAAAAACAAAAAAAAACAGTCCTTACAACATATAAGTTGACTCTTTACATTTATAAATCATTATTTTCTTTTTCTTTCTTTATCGTTGAATATTCAAAAAGTCTTTGATATTTACGCTTTTAGTAATCTCATATCCTTTGATGAATGCATTTGTACAGTGGTAATATCTCAGCTACAATGATGCTCGTAACAATTTACAGATGACCATTTCCTTCGTTCTAGATTCATCATTACAACAAACAAAAGATACATCTTAGCACCAAAGCTCTTCCAGTCTCGGAAATATTCAATTGGTGTTTGAATACTTTTCTTAATCCTGCAACATTTCTAACGATTTGTATTTTTAAAGCTAAACTATATAACGATTGATTAAGAATAAAGTAACATCACGAGATTAAATAATGACGCCGTAAACGAACGAGAGCAAACAAAGCGACGTCGTACGTCGTAAGTAACCATTCGGTCGGGCAGTTTTCGTTCTCAGTTCTCTTCTCTCTCGCGTACGGCTCGGCTTTGACTTGGCCAAGATTGAAGGTAGGGGGAGAGGGGGTGCAACGACCCGCATGCACACTCGCTCGTGCATGCCTGCAGTCGATGCAAACTTAAAAAATAATAAGGCATCGAAACCGATAATATTATCTGAACAAAAGCGCGCCCCTATGTATGAATAACAGTCGCCATGGACATGACATGCATAAATTATTTATTGGTTACACGGTTCGATCGCATCGTAAAGTGCAACTTGCTTTTCGTCGTTACTTTCGCAAATAAAGCCAGCGAACGAGCGGGCGACGCCTCCATTTTCTCGCCTGGACGCCAATTTGAATAAATAAACAAATAGTCATTGTTTTCCGCAACTGGCGTTTAACCACTTTAGAGCCTCTGCGCGCCAAAACTTCCCGCTAGACACCTCGCCGAGGCATTCACAATTCTCGCATACCAGTGTGTCATTAACGTACGGCTTCTACAATCATCGTTTCATTTGGAGTTGACGTGCGTTAGGAACTTACTCGATCAATCTCCGAGAGATCAAGAGATATAGAGAAGGCAATTTCGGAAAATGTTTCTGAAATCTGTCATCCGCAAAAGCTCCTTCGCGAGGAAATCGACGTAATTCTAAGAATAAACGCGGATCGAAGAAAAAAAAAGCAGCAGCTCCCGCGCGCATACGTCGTGCCGGAATTACATGTCGGGAAGGTTATTTGCCTGCATTTCATCTAGTGCTGATTCGACTAGTGCGCTCTATCTCTCTCACTCTTTCCGGGTGGAGAGAACCGTGTCGCCTTGCGCCGTAAATTTCGGCCGCTGGATATTCTGCCGAGCAAGCAAGTCTTTATACGTACGTGCGGCGACCTCCTCGTCCCGTTTGTTTTCGTTTGTTTTCGTTTCTTCCCTTATCCTTTCTCGCCTCTCGCGAAATCGCCTTTCCGCTGAATATATTAGATGGGTTGGCTCGCCCGTCTCTCTTTCGTGCAGCCGTACACATGCTATATTGGAAAGCTCGGCCGCGCAGGCAAAAAAGCCACGGTGAAAACTTGATTTTTACGAGGCGCCGCCGTTACGCCCGGCAAGTTTGTTTGAAAAGTGCCGGCCGCTTGCGGAGGGCAAAACATTTTGCAAGTTCCTTTGTTTTTACCGAAGGCAAATAGAGGCGTTTCGCTCGCTCGCTCGCTTGCTCCGTTGGATTCGCTTTTAATACTTACGCTACACGGATTTGCAAGACTAATAAGATAGTCGTTTTCTTTGACATTGCTTGTTGAAATGTAATTATTGCACGACGATCGATGAACGATCCTTCGAAATCATATCCCGTTTTAGGAAAAAAAAATAGCAGTCTATTATTACCCTGCAAGTTCCTGCGACAATATTTTGCGTCTGTAAAATAAATGGATAGTTTTGTTTATTTACAAGAAGATTTACGAGATGACCGTAGGGCAATAAAAAATTTGAAACGGCACTGCGAGACAATAAAAAGCAAACGACAGTCGTATAGAGCTTATAGCGCTTGACAAGTAAGTTGGAATTGGATTGTGGATATGCCGGAATCGATCTCTTGCTCTTTAGGGCTTTAGCTTAGCTGAACTGAATAAAAGCAAAAGGAAAAAAAGAGTTCACGTGCACCCTTACATTCACGCGCAAAGACACACATATACTATGGCTTATAGAGAGAAGTGTACATTTATGAGCCGAGATGACATGCAATAACGTAACAGCTCCTTCCCAACGCCTAATGAATAATGTATGGATCTTTTTCACTTATACCTGCGAAAATACCTTTTCTTTTTTACATTGCATTTTACTGGCTAATTTAATTATCAAGAGAAATACGTTAAGACACGGTAAAGAGCAAAGTCTTTTTTGTTTTTCTTTTTTTTTTAGTACAAGAGAAAACGAGTTCCATCGACATACAGCGTAATCTATTTGTGTATATCCATAGACTGTTTTTAAAAAATATGTACATCATAAAAAATGGAGAGAAGGTACCTTCGAAACAGAATCGCGACTTCTTGCTTATTCGTAGCAGTACTATATATATACGCGATCTCGTTTATAATTCCTCCCCTAAAGCGATTAACATGTATACGTATATTCGTAAGTTAGATAGCTAATTAGACGTTTCTTAAGTGGTAAAAACACGTAGCACAGCCAAAAAAGAAAATGTCGAGCCCGACATCATCGTCGTCATCGGAATAATCACGCACGCAAGCCTACATCCTAGGTACAGACGAAATCAAGCTTTGCCGTGTCGTCTCGAGCGACGGAACAGCAGTGTAGTGGTGACGAGCAGTCAGTAGTCGAGTCGCTGGCTGTCGTTGAGCAGCGGTCGCCGATCGACGGGCTAGCTGTTGGGGCCGAAAAACCCAAGCGTCTTGAGAGTGGACGTGACTCGCGAGACGAGCTTGTCTTTGTAACGCCAAATGGTAGTGTCGAGTAGACTGTTCTCGCGGTACTCCACGCAAGTCTTCTTCAGCGATTTCACGCAGTCAGCCCTGTAGTGCTGCAGCTGGGCGTCCTCGGTGTCGATCGGGTAACTGGTGCAACCGGCGCCAAGGCACGCCAGCGGAAAGTGATTGTGAAGGGTCACCACGCGCTCCGGATTGTGGAAGCACTTGATGTACTGGTTCGGTTTCGTGAAGTTCTTCGAGCGGTACACGTGCTGCAGCATGTGCATGTACCTGTTCCGCATTGCAAATCAGACACAATTCATATAAATTATTCGTCGAAATTTGGAATAGCCATTAAATTATATAGGATTTCATCATGGTTCGTCAAACGTATGAACAAAGTCGCCGAACGCGTCTCTCAACTGGAAATACAATTATCGACAAATGTAATTCGATTCTACAAAAAGATCAATATAAATGCAACAGTCCGTACAGTGCACCAAGTGAATTTCGTTTCAAAGATCTTCGTTTGATTGTCGAATGCTACCCTGTTACTATAATTCATTACTGATATTAAAAAAAAAAAAAAAAAAAAAATCAGTGACATCGATTAGCCCGCATCATTGATTTTTTTCATTTAACATCTCTAGCAGCGCGCAACAAATCTGAATTATTCAGTTATTGGATAATCACTTGGCGCACCGGCGGAACGAAGGAGAGGCAAGGAAAATTGAATTTATCGATCGAATAAAAAATGCTCAATTATCGAGACATCAGCAGCCGTAAAAATGAAATATGCTAAGCGAGATAGCAGTCGCGAGAGCAAATCCCCGTTGATTTCGCATACTTCAGCGTGGCTTCTCTGAATCCAGTGAATCCAGCGAATCCAGATCAAACCTAAAAGCCGCGGTCGCTTGTCGTTGGCTTCGCCTCGACGGCGAGCTGGCGAGGAATAAAAGGAGCGTACTTTGGAATGTCCTTGAAAGATCCGTGCGCGTGCAGGAAGTCGTCGAGGAAGTAGACGTTCCTGACGTTGTACGACGCCCTGGTCTCATTCCTGAGCTTGAGCGCTTTGGGCATGACGCGCGCCATGAGCTGCTGCCAGGTGGCGTCCTGCTTGGGCATAATCACCTCGTCGACGTCGAGAAGAGCGATGTACTCGTACTCGTACATGTGCTTGTACAGGCAGTCGTTGTAGGGTATGAGTTCGTTTTGCCTCTTGTGATTGGTCTTCTTGGTGAGGTACATGTGCTGGAACGCTGGGACGTTGGGTTGTCCTCCGGGCAGGGTCAGCGGAGTGACGTGCACCTTGCCGAGTGTCTGATAGTGCTCGAGCACTTTGGTCACGTTGGGATGAACCTGCAGCTGGTAAAAGAATATCTTGTCGGCGCCGAGCAGCATGATGAGCTCGATCCACTCGACCAGGCGCACCGAGAGGTCCTCGTGCAAAAAGTCCAGGCCCTTGACGCACACGGCAAAGTCCTTCTTGAGCGCTGGCTTGTTGTAGGTTACGCGGAGATTGTTGGTCGCGGTGTCGCACCTCTTCTCCGCGAGGCTCACCGAGGCGGGCGGCCCGCGGCGCCAGTGCGACTGGGGCACTTTGCAGGCGATCACGTACGGCTGATAGATGCCCTGCTTGTAGTTGCCCCACTTGGAGTACCAGATGTACTTGTACTCGAGGACGTCGACGATCTTTGGCTCCTTCTCGCCCTCGAACCACATCTGGCAGTAGGTTTTCACGGTCGGCTCGATTCGGTCGATCATGCCGACGATTCGGATGGCAGGCCCGATCCGCGAGAGCTTGCGATCGTCGTAGAAGGCGCCGAACAGCTGGAAGGTGCCGTTGCTCGAGCGCAGCGTCTGCCAGTACACGTTGTTGAACTCCAGCTCGAAGATGCTGGGGTACTTGGGCTGACAGCCGCCGCCAGCGGACGTCTCGCTGGCCTTGGCCGTCTGGCTGACTTTGCTGTTCCTCGTCCAGTAGGCCAGCGGCAGGCTAGGCAGTCGCTCCTCGATCTCCTGTATCAGCTCGTCCTCGCTCTTGGCTGGCCTCTTGTCCAGCAGAGGCTCCAGGTCAAGCGGACTCGCCGAGGCTGTCGTGCCGGGCGTCGTGGGCTCTTGCCGCGCCGGCGCCTGTCGCTGCAGGAGAAACCTCGAGGCGGCGAGACTCTGAAGGTTCGGGTGCACTGCCGCCGCTGCCACCGGCTCCACCGGCAGTTGCTGCTGCTGCTGCTGCTGCTGCTCGTCGGAGCCCAGCGAGTTGAGCACGATGTTGGCTTGATTCGAGTGCCTGAACTGCACGGTCGCGATCATCAGCAGACCCCAGGCCAACAGGATGACGAGGGCGCGACGCGCGCACCTCGAGCCAACGGTCGCGCAGCTGTGAAGCATGGCAGCCGCTTGCGCTTTTTCGGGCCCGCTTGCGCGTTCACGCCGATGTTGCTTGTGCACCGGGCTCACTGCTGCCGCTCGCTAGCTGCGCCTGAAATCCAAGCGACGCGTCCGCCGTTAGTATCCTGCGACTTTCGTCGGTTCTTCGCGGATTCTACGCAATGTAATTTTTCTTAATATTTTTTTTCATTTTTCATGGTCACTGCGAGGCTGAATATCGCCAGGTGAATTTATAACTCGATCGATTGGGGGATAATCTACGATAAATGGGGCTTTCGGCCAAGCATTGGCAACGTAGTTGGGCTCGCAAGTCTGTTTTCGCTGATGGTTATCCGGGAAAAGAGCGCACTAATCCACTACGAAATTCCACCGTGAGATCCCGTTTGGCACGCTCTTCTCGCAGTTCAATTAAAACGCTTGAATTCGACGTAATAACGAATTGGGATTGCGATTTCGAGCAAAGGATGAACCGATTGAAGACTGACAGGCGCGCGTAATGCGTCTCGCAGTTGATACGACGGTGAATTTTTAATGTAGATTTCGTCGCTTAAGAATAATCGTGGAGTTTCGTACGTTTGAGATCGGAGCAAAATAAAAATCAATGACAACAAGATTTGGCACTACTTCAGCCAAAGATTAATTGACAAATGACATCACTCGTTGTCGATTATGGAATTGGAGCTTAAACACAAACCCCGTACGTATAAAGTCGATGAGGCAAGATAATAATATAATTACGTTAGCCACTGCTACATTTCACAACAGCGGAATTACAGCGGATCTGGTAAAAGTTAATCGATGTCCCAAATGAAACAAGATTGCGCGAAACAATGGCATCGACAAGAGCGATAAGATATAGGTTCGAGTGCCATCAGCAAAAAGAAATAGATCGCGACACGCGACATATCTGCAATAACCGGAAACGATTGTCAAAGTTTGAAGAGATAGCGGGTCAAGGCGGCGAGAAGGAGTATTCGGCAATGCCTCTCTCTCTCGCTCTTGCGACACCACTGACGCGCGGGTGCCAAAAGCGCGATCGCCCTGCCCGCGTCCACCGTCGTCGCGTCGTTATTCGCAAGCGTCGCTGCTGGCCGAGCGTCAAGGGCCGCGGCGCGCGAGCTTCTTTTTTCGCCAATCGATCCGCGCCACGGGCTTAACCTTGGCCCGCTGCAACGCTCGTCCCGCCCTGACGTTTTCTTTTCTCGCCCGCGCGATAGGGTTATATTCGGCAGCCGGGCGGAGCTGCCGTGATTAGCCTAACGACCCCCTGAATATTCAGATCTTTGCTCGCGTGCTGGTTTACACGAGCGATCGTCGGGGGGCCGATGAATTTGCAAAATGCCGGGGGGGCAAACGCACGCACCGCGAGGCGGAGCGCGTGCCAATGGGGCCGAGACTGCCGTGCTTCGCGGCGTCTTTTCGCGAGGTCGAGCTTTCGGGGGAGCGGCGCAAGTCCGAGCGGTCGGACGTCAAATCGGAACGATAGTTTATCGACGCCTCGGACTCGCGCGGGCGCGTGCGCGCTTCGTAGCCGTCGTGCCGCGAGTGGAAGGCCGAAGAAAAGCAGAGAAAACACGCGCCGAATTTACGATGCAGTTAATAAGAAGCAAAACTTTCCACTGGGAGCAAGTAGCGAGAAGGAGAAGAACAAGAAGAAGACGAAGAAGAAGGGAGAGAGGAGCGGAAAAAAAAGCGCGAAAGGAGTAATAGCTGCAGTGCTAGTAAATAGCCCCCCGGCAGTATAATACGAGAGCAAAAGAAACGCCAGGGAGCGAGAATAAGAAGGAAGGAGTTCGAAAAAAAAAAGTATTCCGAGAGAAGCTTTCGCGACGCGTACGGATGGAAGCTTCTTTTTCCAGTTGAATCCCGCTGCGGCTGAAGGAAATCGCACGATCGTTTCATTTTTCCAAGGACTCTTTCAAGCCGCGCGAGGCGAACAAGAGAAAACACAGCTATCGCTGCGCATTACGTGGCACAACGCCACGAGTCCGTCGCCGTGCTGCGCGCCAAGTGGTTTAACGATTGAAAACCCATCGAAATACCCGCGCACACACGCACGGAAAGCCATCCGTGCGCGCGAGCGACAACGCGGCTCTGTATGTATAACCGGCGCGAGCTGCTGTCATTTTATCCGTCTATCAGCTTCGATTCGCTTCTCTCTTTCTTCGGTGCATGCAACAATTTTCGAAATTAAATTTTTCGAGTGCAACGAAAAAAAAGAAGAGGGAAAAGAAAAAGAGAAAAAAGAGAGAAAAAAAAACAAAACACAAAACGTTCTCTTTCCGCGCGGCACGAGATACGATTCGATGCCTGCACTTGATCTATAGTAACCATACATTTCTCTCTGGCGAGCTTTTATTGCAGTATCCATAAAAGTGAAATATGAAAACATCGGAATTACGTATCCCCCGGACATAAGAGCCTGACGTTGTTTTTGATTATTTACTTTGCGTTTCGCAAGATGAGCGTTCGCGGGCGGGCCTCTCGCTCGGCAAATTGGAAGAGTCGCGGTCGATTGTCCGACGAGCGGCCGAAAGCTGAGGATCGCGCGAGCGGCTATTTCGCGTTGCCTCCGGTTTTTAACGCGCGCGCGCGCGCGGCCGGATTTATAGGCGTCGGCGCTGGCGAGGCGCAAGGGCGCGCGAACGATTTACGACTCTATTAAGAAACCAGAGCCAAGAAGTCTTTTTCGATAAGCGCTAATGACGATTTTTTTTTCCTTTTCGTTCCTCGCGCGAATGCCGTTTTCCGACCTCGTCGAGTACGTTCCGGTTGGTTGATTATAGCCGTTTTTTTTTCTTTCTTTTTTCTTTTGATTTTGCGTAATTATTCGTCAAGGACTGGTAAATAGATCGTTTCCTAGCCAGCGGCAAGGATTGAGAAAGAGTAAGACAGCACGGCGCACGGTAGCCTTCAAGATCCTGATTAGTTTAAGGAAGATTTGATTGCCATTCCGTGATATTTCGTGGCCAAAACGAGAAAGTCCAAAGGGGGCGGACTGATCGGAGGATCGGCGATCCATTGTCGCTCGGTCGAATTCACTCGGCAGCGGGCAGTCAATCGGGCGCGTCGCGTTCTGATTAATCGACTCCATAATTTGGCAAATGATTTCCGAGCGCGCAGACACACACAAAGCGAGGCTCCGAGCAAACATCCGCGTCGCTCACGGCGATTGTCACACGGCCCGCGTAGCTGCCGCTGCTGCTGCTGCTGCTGCTGTTTATTTGGCTTTCGAAATTTCGTCTCGGATAAAACGCTCCATTATAGGCGCATGTCACGCCAGTATTAAATCACCAGAGAGAGTGTGCGTGCGCGTGGCTGTGCTATTGTGCGTGCGGGAGCGCGATAAAAGGGTTCTACTGCGCTGTCCATTCTCGCTGCGTTCGCTCTGTCTATTTTCTCAATTAACTGCGCGCGTATACCGCGAACAACAGGCTTTACCGTGCACCCGTTCGCAGAGAAGACCAAAGTATTCGACGTACACGCTGGACTCCTTCGTTCTCTCGTTTTTTCGATAGTTGCTGCCGTCCCCCTTTTTTTAGAACATTACATCACATCCGCGCGCGCGTGTGCCCGATTGCGAGTGGCCGATGGAACTAATCAATCGCTTCGAAGCGGCGGCCGTGATAACACCTGAAGTACTGTCATTGAATGGCGAAGCTCGTGAATGATGAAACCAAATCGAACGCTCGCGCGCATCGAACTTTGACATCCTTCGCGAACGGCTTCGACTGCTATTCGGTGCGATGGAGTGGCGCGATATAATGCATCTGCGCGCATCGACAACTCGAACGCATCGAAACCGAGCGTCCGCACTTAATTGAGCCCGGAACGTCCCTCGCGCGAAAGGGGCGCTATCCAATTTTCCCGCCAATCACGTCTTTCCGAAAGGAAGGGCCCAAATTAATAAAGCTCACTCGAAACACGACGCGGCTAATTAAAAATACTTTGGGAAAGCCGAACGGAAAAAAGCTCGGCGTTCTCTCCGGCTATTCCGGCCGATAAATTTCCAGCGGCGGCGCCAGCACTTTAGACGGAGGCTCGCGATAAAAGTGCCTTTCGCGCGGCGGCGGCGGCGGCGGCGGCGGCGCAGCTGCGGATCCCCGATAAATTCCACGCGCCGGCATTCGAATTATCCCCGCGTTTCCGGCATTTTTCTCCCAAGCACGCACGCGCGCAGCACTGATACGGAAATTCCCGAGAGTCGCGTTTTCCAGCCGCGATTCCCGGGGCAGGCTTCGGCCGCGCGCTGCGAGCGGCCCCGTCGCCACGGACCGAGAAAGCTCTTCATCGCCGGTCCGCCGAATATGCCGGCGCCGCTCGAGATCATTCAAACAAGTCCGCGCCCGACCCTTTCCTGTTTGCTCGGCGCGCGCGGGATTCGCGCACTTTTACGGCGCACAGCGGGTCGTCGCTTTGAGGAGGGGAGGGGGGGGGCGTCCTCCGTAAAAACGACCACGACGACGACCCACCAGAACGGAAAGGAGCCTCGTGGCTTCGACTTTCATCGCGAGCGCGCGCGCGAACGATATTGACCTCGAAAGACACAGCCCGCGCGCGCACGCGTGTGAGAACCTCTCCGCTACGGGCAATTGCAGCATCAACGACGGCAAGATAAAAATGAAATAAACAACGATTTGCGGGGGAATGGCTTCGGACGCGCGCGTAACGGTAACCGTCGCAGTCCCCGAATTCGGGTCGACGAACGTACGCGCGCCACGGCGATACTCCTCGGCGCGACGTAATAACTCATCAGTCGCGCGCGCCGCAAAAGTAATCCAGCGGCAATATTGAAAGGCTAGGCCGCGCGCGAACTTGACTACCCCGCTGGGCTTGCAACAGCTGCCGCGGAGATGGCCGAAACCGGTTATGCTGATCGTATAGCGTTTTTCACCTTTTGCACCGCTCTTTCTCTCTCTCTCTCTCTCTCTCTCTCACGAGCAGCGCGGACAAGGAGGAAGCCAGCCGACCGGTTGGTCGCTGCCTCTCCTCGCGCGAAGCCGAGCTCTCGCTGCCGAAACCGACTGCGCCTTTAAACGCCGTGTCAACGTCGCCAGCCGCCGAGTGCGTTTTCGCGCACTCGCTGTAGTCTCTCGTGAGAGCGCCGCGTCCGCGCAATCGAGTTTCTTTTCCTGTTTGTTTTCCGCTCGTGTCGATCCCCCCACCCCTCACTCTTGTAAGCGCGAGCTTATATTATAACGATTCGTGCAGTCGCTTGTATTTTGTACTTTGCCCTACGGCAAATAAAGTAACACGTATCTATCTATCTATTTATTTATACGCGAACGCATCTTGTTTATCAAGGCACACGTTCGATTTCGTTGCGCGCTCGGAAGCCTCCATTGCTCGTCCCCTTTGTTCCCTGACGCGCAAAACTAACGACGGAGTCGTTGATTCCGCCAAGGCCGAAGGACGGAATATGGCTCGGGGGTGGCGTGCCTGAACGCGTCCTGAACGTGAAATCGCGCACGCCGAACTTTTCGGCTCGGCCGCCGCGATTTCGCTCCTTCCCTTCGTCTTCTCGCCGAGCACCAAACGAACAATTGATTTTCGCCAATTTCGCGTCGTTTCCTTCTCTCTCACCCTCCGACACCTGCTCCTCTGCCGCCGCTATCGAGCATCGCGTTTATTACGCGAAGCTATGAACATGGCTTGTCGTTCGCACTGTTGTGCTCGCATACCTCAACGTTATTAAGCCTTAGTCACGTTTGAATGTGTATAAATTCAATATCTCGCGAAGGCGCGCGATATTACGTCATTGCATAATAAACACTAGACTGAGAGACGTCAAGAAACTCCTGCTACCTGAAAAAAAAAACAATCGCAAAGAGAGTCGAGACTAGAATGCTTAAGTAAAGTGTTCATTTGCATCCGTTTCTAGTCTAATTAAAGACACTTCCTGCTGTCTCGTGCTTTTTATATGGGCGTTCGTGCCGCGGAATTGATCGGTTGATTAAACTCACATCTAGCTGGTGTAAATGAATAACTGCAATTGGAGTATTTAGAGAAGGAATTTTCTTCAGGAAATGTATGATGGTACTCTTCTTTTTGTAAACAAAATCGACATTGCACTTCGAATAAAATTTAGCGTAAGAAGTAACGATCACAGAACTTTTGCCAACCCTTTGATAGAATTGAGAATCAAGAGCTTCGGTAAGCGGAATAACTTGGCCATAAACCACGCACACGAACGGTCTGTTTGTTGTAATTACGAAGACACACGTCACTTAGTCTCAATAAAGCAATTAACTGTCTAAGAATTTCCCTTTCCGTCTGAATGGTTATAATACGCGCGGATTGACATTCTTCGCGTCGATCGCGCGCCTTTTACGTAGCTCTGCTCTGCCGGCAGTACAACAGAAGGAAGCGAAACATAACTCTCCTCTGCCGCTGTGTGCCTCGCGCGTTACCCTCGAGATACCCCCCCCCCCCTTCCCGTTCTTTTGTTCTCGACGGACAAATGGCTCGTCGCGCTCATCGGCGGCGCGACACATCTCTGGCTGTCGATTTAACGACGCCGGTAACGCGCGCGGATCTCGAGTTTCCGCGCTTCTCCGGCGAGCGGCAAACGGCACTTGGCGATCGCGCCCACGCCGAGCTTCGGCGACGCGAACAGTCGTCTTGGCCTGGCGCAGGAATGGCTTCCGACGAACGTCGAACGCACGCTGAAATCGCGATTAGTCCTCGCTGCGGATCGACGCGACTTGTCCGGTTCTCGGCTGCGAGACGCACTCGCGGCTCGACTAAGCCAATGACACGTGCGATTCTCTCTCTCTCTCTCTCTCTCTCTCTCCCTCTGGCCGTGTGTAACAGCTGGCGAGTGGCTTCCGGCAATCTCGTAGACAGCGAATTAATTCGTAATTATCGTAGCGCTCGGCAGACGGCAAATGTCTGCTCGTCGGAAAGTATCCTCGCAACTTCAAAAGAGCAGAAGCCGAATAATCTATGCGTGCGAGCCAGACGCAAGGAAAGATGGTGTTGTTCTGATTCAAACTTCCGACGATCTAATTGAGAGGCTAACAAAAGCTCTTGCTCGAATTGTATATGCAATTAGTACCGCGACTCGGCGTTTTCAATTTACGTTTTACATGCCGGTTTGTGCTTCTCTCTCTCTCACACACACACACGCATACACTCACATACCTGGATGTCGGCCGACAACTGTACGTACGTATTTTTAAATATATACTCGCTCGAATTGCCAATGACGTACGAAGTGGTGTGTTTGTTTGTCGGTGGCTAACCGAAAGCTTATCTCGCCTCGGTATGGTATCATGCCCCGAAAAAAGAGGCGATACGATGAATTAAAAGTGAGCCTTATCTCAGTGGAGATAAACAAAAGGGAGAAGCGTCCGTTTGTCTTGAATTGACCGGTACGGTAGCGACTTTGGAAAGAAAAAAAAAATTCTTCGTTCGTTCCATCGAATCATTCGCAATACCGTTACATTTCTTAATGTTCACCGCTGGGGCATCGTAAATTCCACAATCCCTCGTCAATTTTCATTAACGCTGGGAGGGAAAAGTAAGAACTTTTGATCGATCGGTATCTCACTTGAATTCTACAGCGATGCACAGTACCGCGTTCAAAAAAGAAAAGAGGAACCCTCCTGATTTTCATCGCGTTTTTTAGTGTTCTCGAGGTCCGCATTGGCCCAAGAATAGAAACAGCCAAGCGTAAAAGAAAATCCATCAAACGAAAAAAACGACGACGAAAGTCAGAGTCGTTATAGACGAGCAAGTCCAAGTCCATGGGAATCAACGACGTCTGTTGTTCGAAAAAGCGAGAAGAATCCCGTGGTGCCTTATCGCATAATGAGACGGGAGCAAGAGCAAGAAGAAAAAAAAAACGAAGAAGCGAAATTAATCAATCAGGCGGCTGAGCTCGCTGCGGCGTAATGACTCGAGGTGAGCAATTATCCGCTTCTCATTGTGCGCACGGATGTGAAATCTCGGAGGAGACGCAATCCATTTTTAATCTCGGCGCGATATCGAATTCTTTTTTTTCCTTTTTATCTCTCCGTCTGCTGCTTGGTAGCCGACGCGTAAATAAAAAAAAAAAAAAAAAAATTCCCCGCCTCGTTCCTTTCATTCGAAAATCTCTAAATTGCCCGAGTGAAATACGAGGATTCTCGGTCGCGCGAAATATTCTCGCTCGCTGTTGTTCCTTGAATTTTCCTAAACGTCAATCAAGGCAGCGGAGGAAAAAGGGAAAGGAAGAAGAAGGAAAATCGAAAAAAAAAAAAAAAAGGAAAGAAAAACGAGAGCGGAACAAAAGTTACGCTTGGCAAGCGTCAACTTTAATGAAATTTAAAATTACAGCGCGCGCGGGCGCTCGCTCGCCGGCGCCAGGCATTGCACAACTTATTTTAGCTTGCATTAGTCGAGAACGGCGCGCAGAGCAGAAGCTTCGAGCGCGCCTGTTAACTATCCTCGTAGGAGGAAAAAAAAAAAGTGCATATACATGTGCGCGTCCGCGTCGCCTCGTAAAACGCGCGAATCATTGGACGCGCGCGGCGGATGCAGCGATGGCGAGCGTTCGAAAGGCTCGGGGAATTGTTTCGAATCCGATGAAAAGCGCCTGCTGTCCGCGTGGCACCTTCGAGATTGCCTCTAGTCGCGGGAAAAAAAACAACGACTCTCCGGCGTGCGCTGTGTGTGCGTGTGCTTTTCTGGGTCAAAATAGAACGACGTCCGCGAGAGAGAAAGAGAGAGACAGCGCCGCGCGCGCTTTTCTCTTTACCCTCGACTGCTGCGACTACTATAGCTGCTTGTTGAAAGCGTCCGTGGCTTTTCGCAAATTAAAGCACCGACGTGCTCTCGGGCATCGAGCGCCGATCCTTTGGCTTCGCTCGGTGGTCGAATACCTACAACCCAACCGAATATTTCAACAAAAGATTAATTACCAAGAATTCGCGCGCTTGCCGTTCTTAAATTTCGAATATTTCGAATGGGGTTGCGAGCTAAAACTTTGCAGAATGGGGGGGGGGGGGGGGGAGGGGGAGAGTCAGGTAAAACACTGCTCGCTCGCACGAAATTAAAGCGCTCCGCAGCGTCTTCCGAGAGCACAGCCACCGAGCTTAACCTTCGGCTGCGAATGATGTCTTTCGCGTCTCGATGGGATCGGAATGTCCACGTTGCCAGCGATAAAAGTCTAAAATGCCAGATAAAGTGTTGCCGCGCGACGGCGACGGACATTCGAACGTCGCGTTTTCACTTTCTAACGATAAACAAGCGTCAGAATTTGGGACGACGCGTCGCGAAGCACGGCGCGCTCCAATTGCGTTAACGCGCGCTTAATTAATACGCGCGCGCTAGAACGAGACTCTCTCGCTGATTTCACCGACCGCCTCCTGCCTCTTTTTCCTCTTCTTTGGCTCGCGGTCGCGTGTGCAATCTGCCGGGGTACCGGCGCGTTTCCATTTCTTTTTTTGTTTAGTAAATTGTTATTCTCGCTCGGCGACCTGGCAGAGAGCGAGAGAGAGACCCGACAGTAGTCGCATTTGCCTGGCTTCGTCAGCTTAAATGCTTTTCTCAAAAGTCTCGTTTTCTCCCCTCCGGCCGATCATATACAAACCGAAACGCTCGGTCGCTCTTTCGGTTAGATAATGCGCGTCGCTCTGTGTTTTTTCGCGCGGAATCGCTGACGTTCAATTTCCAGCTACCGTCTGGCTACAATTAAATCGATACGACGAACTGCCCTCTCGCTCCCTTTTCAATCTATTGTTCATTAATCGAGCGATAGCTCGGCACAATCAGTGAACATTAATTGCTCGTCGATTGTCCTTCATAAACTTCGGAAACACTAATATGTACATCGATATCGGCGTTGCCTCGTAGCGTCATAGATATTTTGTGAAACTGAAGGGAAAAGCAACAGTCGACGGATTATCAATGTACCCGCGGAAGTATCTTGCGTCGATTCGAAGTTTAGCAAGCTGTGGAGCGCAACGCGCCCGTGGGAGGGGCAAGGCTTCAATTCGGTCGACTCAGCTGCCGTACGTATACCCATCGCGCGGCACATTTGCGTTTTAGCGAGCCGCGATCGCGCGGCCGGCTGGTCCTTTGATCGGGCGGCGCGGCTTCGCACCCCCGGACGAAAAAGTTTGGCTTCGTCGGGCCAAATGATATCAGCGCAGTCGCGCAAAGCGGCTCCGCGAACCGGCGCTTTGGGACGACGGTTGCAGGGAGAGCCGCCGATCAGGCTCTGCCGCTGCAGCACGAGCCATTTACTTTGTCTAGCGCGCACTCTCTCGCCGCTCGTTTATGCGCGCGCCGAACGAGAGGCTGCCCGACGACGCCGCGGACTTCCTCCCTCTCCTCGTCCTTGTTTTCAAATTCAACGCCTGGCTCTCGTAGTTGCACGCTTGCACGTCCGACTTTCGTCGAACTTCATCGTTCGAATTAAACCAGCTGGTGCGTCGCTCCATCTTCGAACGAATCCCGTCGTAAGTTGATGAAAACGACGCGTCATTTATAAAAATAACAATTAATTTTGAGGTTTGCAAAACAACCAGATGAGCGACAAGATGACGGCAATATCGGTATTGTATTAATTTTAAAAATAGCGCCTGCAATAAAAATGAAATAGCGCCTATTAGCGTGATCGCCGTAACCGCAAACCCAATCGTTATAATTAGCGCGCAGCCATAAATCCATCAAACCAAGCGCTTAGTTAAAAACACGTTGATGGAGAAAGAACCGGCGCGGTATGTTTCCCTCGAAAGACGGCCCGAACGAGCATCGGTCGCATCAAAGACGAGACGGAACGAAAAATTGGCGAGTCGACATTTGTTCGTCGTTAAGATCGGCTGCTCGGCGGGGTCGCGACAGGCAGAAGTAGGCTCAGCGACATGGGGAACAATCGCGCCCGCGCCGCCTCTGGTGCGTGCCACATGTGCCGCAGCCTCGAACGCAGCCGCGCGCGCGCGCCGATAGCACGGCTTAACGGTTTCTCGCCTCCGTCCCAAGACGATGATTGTGAAGTTTGCAACGTTCATCGTGAACGAAAAAATCGAAAATTTAAATATGAGGATTTGACTTCATATATTGCTATAAATATCAAACTAACAATATAAAATACTATAGTCAGTAGTTTATTCGATTCCCAACGCCTAAAAACCACCCTTAAGACAGTTTACACACGAGCAAAGGCGAAGCTGGCTTCTATAAATTTGTGTATTAAAAAACACCACAAAATTCAGCGCTTAAAAGAATTTTAAGAAGAAGAGAATAATACTCCCTACATGCGTAAAAAGTTTCCGGGGTCGGAACGCACCCTACTCACCCTGACACCCTTGCAAATCTTGGCATCCCATGCGCGCAAAGGCATAATCAGCGCGTTTTAATTTATTTATTCCCAAACACCCAA